GATGGCCACGTTCTAAGGAATGAAAAACAAAAAATAAAGTTACTGGTAAGATTATGAATAGATTCGTATTAGTATAGGTACTAAATGTACTGGCATAAGCATACCTACTGCTAATATACTATAATTATTATGATTCTGAGTGAAAGTGTGTAACTAGTAACTATAGCTAGCCATTTATTGTTGTTGTGTTTTCGTTAAAATGTCTACCTACACAATAACTGTTATAAGATTATCAATCAACGTACGATACTTATATTATATCTGTATGTTAAAAATTATGTTAATAGTTTATAATATATAATATTATAATATTTACCAAGATGTTTATACATTTGTTTATGTTTATAAAAAAGATTTGATTTTAAATATTTAATTTTCAATTTTTGCTTTTATAAATTGTTTAATTAAATACAATTTTTTTAGTGGCCTAAATTGTGTACCTTAATCAAAATAAAAGATTTTATATTCCACCATAAAAATGTATTATGATTCAGAGCTGAGGTGCATAGAATCAAAACAGCAAAAGTGTTTTTAATTTTTATACAGGACAGGTAATTAAAGTTTTGATTATTTTTCAAAATGTTTTTTTCTTATAAAATCCACTTTAAAGAAAATAATAAGCTCATTTTTTATGTATAAATTATGGCTTTTTAAGCCATCTATTAACCCAATTAATGTTGGTTAAGTTTTAATGTGGCCATGTGGGTTGGGCCACTCAAACTTTGAAAAATATTTAGATATATGGTATTGCAGGTGGTTTAGTCTAACTCATTGAAAATTTGTTAATCACTTAAATCTGAATCTTTTTTTTATATAGTATAATAGTATAAACTTCGTTACACCACAGTCCACAGAATATATTAATTATTATATATTATTATGTGTTTAAAAGTCAATAAGTATGTTTGTAATTTTAGTTACAGTTATTATAAAATAATTGTAGGGAATGATATAATAATTTTAATCTTGGTCTATGATTAGGTATAATTTTAATATTTTCCCCGGGCTTAAAATACTTAGTTCCACCTGTGAGTATAGTATTGTAGTTGTTGTTGGTTTGAAGAAATGAATTGAAGTGAAGTGTATCATTTGGTCTCGTCGCTGAACGGTCTTAAGTTACCTGTTTGTCACGTTAACGGCGTATCCCCTTCATGAGCCTATCATTTCGTATGTGTGATTTACCATCAGTATATTTCCATTTTCTACTGATGTAAAATTGCACTAAGTATATTTGTATCTTTGTGTGGTCCAAGCTGTTCTCGATTGTTAACAACCTCCTTCTTTTCACCAATCATAGTTGTAGTGGATCTATAAATGCCTTTTAGATTCTGAGTGAAACGATGAATGTATTTTCTGTTGTGGGTTTTCGCTCCGTTACAATATTCTTTAATTTCAAAAATCAAAATATTCATTTTTGTAATTGATAAAAATGTACCCATTAATTCTGGCAAACGTAAATTGCACCCAACGAAGGGAAACAATTGTAAATTGCACCCAGTATTTTTCAGGTATAAATTTATGTGTAGTAAATTGCGCCCAATAGAAATCTTATTTTTATAATAGTAATTTAGAGACTCAATACACTTTGTTTCACTGTCTTATATAACGATGAATTAAAAGTCACTTGGATAGTCTATGGGCGCAATTTACTATACCTATTTTATTACCTGCTTAATGTGGGCGCAATTTACAAGCGTCCATTAATTCTATATTTTGAGAATCGTAAAGATATTATCTTAATTGTATACATACGAACAACAAATAGATATGTAAAAACAAATAAGTTCCGTCCTCCAGTAATAAATAATGATGTGATGCTAAAAATAAAAGAGACTATATAAATTTTCAATGTAGATCTCAAATACGGTACAAAAGTTTGTTGAAAACGTTGTATATACTATAATATGAAAGTAGGTACCTAGTTGGAAACTTTCTGGGTTTTAAGCAGTAATACATTTTATACGTGGGAGCAATACAAAGAAAATAAGATTTAATTCAAAAAAAGTACAATAATGACTAATTATATGAGAAATACACGATTTTATTCAGTGTAACAAAGATGAGTGTTGGTCATTAGAAACTTATCGATTACTTTATTATAGAAATCACTATATAAAAAGTAATAGCTTATTATAGGTACCTAGGTACTTCAGATTTACAATAAAAAATAGACATTATGTAGAATAGGTATCTACTTTATATTGTATAATAATATATTATACAGTACAATAAAAATATAAAAAAGAATATTATAAATGCATCTGTTATTTGTATATAGATGTGTCCACTAGAAATTGTTAGTTAATGCATTTAATTAAAATAAAATTTAAAAGCGGGTAAGTGGATGTCACTCTGCTGTACAGTAGGTTACAAGTGGGTCATGTATAATGGATTGTATTAAACTTAAATTCAATGATATAATACCATTGTATATGAAAAACGATTCTGAGCGGAGACGGTTTGTCAGTCAGGATATTTTATATTGTTATTATTTATTATAGCCTGTAAGTTTAATTAATATAATATTATTATTTTTTATTCGTTTCTATGTTGATAAACAAAGTGTTAGAAATTAAAATCACATTATGTACGGTTTTTCGTAATTTGGTAATTTGTCAGTGGTTTTATCCCGTGGCATTAAATATCTATTGATAAAATTGAAAAATGACCTCTCTAAAGTACCATCTTGGTCCAATTTTCTGAAAAATAAGATACTATAAGTTGAAAACAAAGTACTCCTCTGGTAGAAATTTTGTATACAGGATAAAAAAAAATAAAAAAAAGCACTATTGTAAAACCACTATAGCTTCCTCGCTTCGCTCAAAATCTAAAATGGATTATTCACATAGTTAAAATATGTCTAACTTATGTAATAAATAATATACAAATTACATACCTATACCTATTATAACCTATATGTAGGTATTAATATGTGTACTTATAAATAATAAATGATGATATACTATGTATCTTATAATGTCTAGATATATTATGTAGAAGCAGTGACGTAATTGTGAGGTGGGTAAGTGGGCACTTACCCTCCCCTCACCCCAATTTTTCAGGAAGGAAGTTATAATTTTTCCTCCCCCAGTTATGCCGATAGAAGAAATCTTTAATTCTTATAAACAAAGAAAAAATACAATACATTTAGCATACATATTTTGTAATAAATATTTCTTCATCAAATTATTGCATACAAGTACATTTATTTTACATTTCACCTGTTGTATAATATGTTGACGTATTGTCTACGTTATCGCATTAGATACAAAAATAACTCAATAATATTATTTCATGAATTATGATTACAAGACTATCATCATAATATTATTTTTTTCAAACAAGTTATAGCACCTTTTCTAATGAACTCTTATATACTTAATATTATTATTCAATGCATGGGTACCTACTTGTCTTAAGCCATAAAATGAGTTTTCAGACTTATGTTAAAAGGTTATAATATCTATTTTGATTTTTGGTGAATACATTTTTTTCCCACTAGTTTTTTTACCCAGTTACGTCACTATGTGGATGTAGTTGACGATTGTATAAGTTTAAAGGAATTAACATTCAAGATTTACATAAATATAACATGGTATATTAAGTTAAACTAACGACAAACATTGTAAAAATAAGGTAAAAATAAGCTCACCATGATGAAAGAACATAGAAACAAAGAAAGAAACATTTATTTTTATGTGTATAAATGATATGTTTTTATGATTTTATTTGTTATTTGTTTTTAAATTGTATTATATTCCATTAAATAAATATTTGTATATTATTGTATCAAATCTATCATGATACATTCCAGTGAGCTGTTGCTTTTTTTACTGCACACATAATTTTAACAATATTATATATTTTACTGAAATCTTCTGATGCAGCTTCAAATAATATATTATATTTATATAATATAGGAAGGTTTTAGGTATTTACATTGTAACCTACCTATGTTGCTACACTGTAATATAGAAATTAGAATTAGAATCTAGTTTTTATTTATTTATTTTTCAATTAAATTAAGAACTACATAAAAATTATTATTTTAAAATCAAATACATGATTAAAACTTATTCTATTTGATAGTAGGTAACAATAAACAATTTAAAGTCACTGAAAGTAAGTAATATCAATAATAATAAAATATATTTGTAATATGTATAACTATTTCACGACGAAGTACCTAATTTGTGAGCTTTCTACACTCAGCAATATTTTTGTCGTTATTGTATTTACCTATTAGTATCTATCAATTAAGTTAATTATTCAACACGTTTAATAGAAATTATATAGCTTAAAAAAAAGTTGTGAAAAATAAATAAAAACAACAAGGTACATCTCAAAATGAGTGGTAGGTAGGAATTCGTGTGGCGTGGAAAAGCTAAAAAAAATATATCAGCTCCTCTCATTATGAAACCCTAAAGGCTACAATATAAATATAATATATAAATTTAATAGTTTTACTCATGCAATTTATAGAAGCCGGTATGTTTTGAAACTGTTAAATACACTTCACTCATGAACTTATTACCACCAATTAACCTGTTAATGATTTCCACACAGCGTCGGAAACAAAAAATAAACACATGTAGGTACATACAAACATATTATGCAAAACAGTACAATAATAATTGTGAATATTATTACGTCATATCACTTATAGTGCTGGAAACTTTGGATATTCTAGTTCCCATGGGTCGACCTTGTGGCCGTTGTCCAATTGTTCAGTGTTCACCATGGGATCGTAATGTTATGATAGTATTCGATTTCCATGAGGTTTTTGACAAAACATTAAATAATTGTTGTAAACATCACAATAAGTAAACATAATGTATAAATACGACTTACATATGTGAAAATACCGTTTGTGCTGTCTTATGGTTAGTACTCGTCAGACTTAATGAAACATAGTCGTGGAACGTCCGTTATTGTACATCTTTGCGTGTGTTTGATAATTAATAAATAATAATTCGATTCGGTAAACAACATCCATAAAAATGATAAGCTCTGCATTACAAGTAAGTCAAATTAATTATTGTATTATTTAATTGTTTACTCGATCATCTTTAGTTAATGTTCAATAATATAATATATTATATTATATTATTTACGTAAAAATATAAAATATTAGTAACAAGATGCAAACGTCTATTATTATAATTTCCTTACAAATATATATTTTATTATTTATACTTACTTCTGGTACCCGTTGTACACTTGTTCTACCATTACTATACACTACTCACTTTTATAATCTACCAAGCAATTCATTTGAAAAAAAATCATCGGAATTTCATGTTATTTTTCTTATTTATTATATAATATTATGTTTATGTGCATGTTTTGATTATTATGTAAACTTTGTTCCATTAGTAATTTTGAATATAAACCGTTTTTTTTTTTTATAAAATTTATAATAATGATTGTTCAATATTTTAAATGTTTAAAGTTACGTCACTTTATAATTGAACTAAATTAAGAAATAAATTAATGTAAAGTACCTAGGTAGTTACAATCATTTGGGCTTTTAGTAAAAACTTTTTACTAAAAGTAACTAATCAAAACTTTTACTAAAGGTAACATTGATCAATTTGATCAATTAACTAACGATAACTTAATAATATAGGTAGGTACACTATTAAATACCTGAAATTATCTAATAATTCAACAATAGTATTTTTTATTTTTATTTTTTTTTTAATACTCTATTGCAGAGAGTTATTCAAACTTTATCATCCCGAGGCTCCTTTGTGTGTTCACGATATTTATTAGTCTCCCAAATTATTATGAAGAATTGAAACAATACGGATACAATATTATAGCCAATATGGGTGATAATAATAGCGACTTTAATACTAGAAATAAAACTTCAAATAGTCGGTAATGTGTTTCATTATCGTTTCCATAATCGGCTTCAATGATTATAAATTATAATTATATTAATTATATATGACCTACATTAATTTTGGTTTCTGGTGCTTTTTACGTGGCTCCCTTCGACAGCTTTTTTGACGCCCTCGGGAGCCGCGACGCACAGTTTGAATACCTCTGAGCAATAGGATAGGTATATTTAGGTTTATACGTTATTAAAATATGAATTGAATTTACTCAATATTTAGTAGAGTACCTACCTACTTGATAAGACAATAATGAGTGATAATGCATTTTAGTCACTGCCAAGTTTAATTTATTTTTTGAAATTTGAGTTTCTATTTGTAATTGCGTTTTGCATATACATCTCAAAGTAATAATTCTAAAAATTCAATGTAATTTAACCATTCAATAATATAATTCGGATTATCACCAATATTATTGTATTTTCAATTGTATATTTATTATTTTCTGATTTTGTTAAAATGTCTAGTATTTTTGATAAACCTGAGTTTTTGTTAATCCGGCAGTAAACTGTAAAACTATGATCCCTTGTGTGTCGGATTAAAAATTTAAAAATGATACCTAATACAATGGTTACACCTGCAGTATGAAGAAAATTAAATTAAAATAATATTAGAGGGTATTATATGAATAGACTAAATGTTTTTTTTTTCATAAATGCTACGAATGAAGAATTATTATAACATACAACTGTAAAAATTCCAAATTAATTTCATTCGTTTTTAACTACTCATAAATTATTTTGTACTGCATTTATGCAAAAACATAAATAATATGTAACTTGTAAATTATCTCCAAGTTGACAACACTTCTTTGTATACCCTCTGAATAAAGTTCTCAAATAAAGGACTTTCATTTTTACATCATTAACAGTGAATTAACAACATATTGAGATATTTTAAGAAACCTACAAAGGAAATAAATTAAAACTATACAATTACAAAAGTGAACAAAATAAATTTAGGTCACAAGTTCAACTAAAAAATTGTGTTGGTACAACAATAAATAATATATTAATTTACATAACTATTCAGGTTTAATACAATTTAGTATTTTTAATTTGCGAAGTACACAATGATTATCAAAAAAACCACATAATGGTGATAATTATACTTAATATAATATTATAATTAATAATATGTATATATAATATATTTTAAAACATTTAGTAATATCACTTGTACATTTGAAATACCAGCTACTTGATATAAATTGATAGTTTTTATTTTTTGCTGATAAATTTAGACATTATACTGCAGGTTGATTAAATGTGGACAGCTTAAAATCAAATAAGTACTAAATGTATCAATTATGTAAGAAAATGCATAATAGTTTTAATCGCTTGTTATCAATTTGATGTCAAACTATTTTTGAAAGCTTATAATACGTGTTAATCATATACAATGGTTAATACGTCTAAATAATATCATGTATATTAAAAAAAAAACCCCGTTAATATTATTCAGACTATTATAGACATACTTACACGGTCGATTAACACATTTATAACCATGTCAACAGTTTCGCAAAATAATAATAATAATTGCTAATCGTGTGAAACCTAATATTATTATATTATTTTATTAACATAAAATGTCTATATTAATTTAGTTCAAAAATTATCTTTCACTTCTACATTGTCCCTTTCTGTCAAATGACCTTCTATCCTAATCCAAAACAAGAGTTAAACTAGAACTACTAATAATAGTACCTACTCACTCGAACGAAATTCATTCTCGTCGACCTTGTGACTCTATTGTGAGTCAAGTAGATTTCTAAACACATTTTCTCCCATAAAATCCTTTAATATGTAACACAAGACCCTGAAAATTGTTGTTCGTTGACTGATTAATTTTAAAAAAATACACTGAAAAATTACAAATACCGTGAATTAAACTTTGGATAGTAATTAATATAATATGATTGGTATCTGTTCAACAGGATCCTCAGAATAGAAAATTATAGAATAGCTCAAATGTGTCCCGATAAGTTCTTTTCCATGAGTAACAAATCAATCCATATTGATATTTTAAAGCGAGTTCTTACTTTATCATTGTTAATATTTACATATTATATATTTATATCTAAAAGTAATTTTCCAATTTAAATAATAATACTTATTTGTTATTTTATACAACTTAAAATGTGTGTGTACACCATGCAAAATTTTTTTTTTCTTACGGTATGTATATAAAAGACTGAAAACCATTTTCTCACAGATGACAAGAGAATATTTTAATAGTATTGCTATATTAGGTTGAATTATATTGTATGTGTGCTATAATTTTCGAAATTAAAATTGTAAATACTATACCTAGGTAATATTTAAAAAAAATGAAGAAACTTTAAGTCACTGCTAATAAGTATATTAATGGCATATAAAAGATTAGATAAATAATAGATATTGCATTTCAATTTTACTCTAATGATTCTAGTGTGGTAAACTCTGGTGTATTTTTAAAATGTTTAATAAATAATATATGAATTCATACACAATTGCAATCCATAATATTTTTTTATTTAAATGTTATGAATAAAGCAATTTTATTTTATTTATGCCTAACAAAAAATATTCACTTATGGTATCTATAATAAATGTGTATTTTCCATTTGATAAATTATTATTCTAAATTAATAATAATAATAATACCTATAGGCTATAACAAACGAATATTAGTATTTATTTATAGTCTCTAAATTTTAATAAATAAATGAACAGTTATTGTAGTAAAATTACTATTTGTATTTTTGTATTGTTCATATAAGACTAGTAAGTATCTATTGTTTAACGAGGACGTCAAGATTCCATGATCGTTATTACTTGAGTGTAATATTTCATAATTAATAAGTTATTATAAATCTTAAATTGTTCAATAAATCAAAGTATAATATATTATTATACCGTATTTATTTATCTATTTTATTCATAAAATACATCCGTATTGCTCAATTTGTACGCCTAAATGCAGTTTTGTTTTTATTTAACAGACATGTTTACATGAGATATAATATAGTACATACGAGTAGTTTAATATGCCTATCTTATAGCCTGAATATAAAACCTCTATAACTAATATTATTAAATTAAATTTACTTAATATGCGTAGGCATTATTTAAAAAAAAGCGGGTAAGTGGATGTCGCTCTGCTGTACAGTAGGTTACAAGTGGGACATTGTATAATGGATTGTATTAAACTTGAATTCAATAATAAAATACCATTGTTTAAGAAAAATGATTTTGAGCTGAGACGGTTTGTCAGTCTAGATATTTTATATTGTTATTATTTATTATATCATGCTAGTTTAATTTATTGGGAACAGGAGCGTTTCTTAATTTAACATTTTATACATTTATAGCAGGGACAACAACATTTTTTACCATTATTTTTCTAAAAATGTATACATTTATAAACTTAAAACTTGGAATTTGGATAAGCAACAACGCTATATACGTACTAACAAAGATTATCCCTTCCTTCGTAATTATATGCCCCGCTTGTAAATTTCAAGTCTACCACAGTGATACGAATGATACTATTATTATATACTGTAACATATCAGAAATATTTTTAAAAAAAGCTTCAAAATGAAGACAATAGGTAGACCTACTTTATACATTATTATTATTATTATTATTATTATTATTATTATTATTATTATTATTGCATGCGCTTCTAAATTTGATAAAAAAAAAAAACTTAAAAATTGGCTATTTATGAACAAATTTGTACTATACCACTATGAATGACAACTAAAGAAATAACCAATAAAAAAAATTTCAGGTGCTGTCGTGCTTATTATTAATGGTCAGCATATCATTGTCGAGGTCAAGATATCCAGGTCGACCGGATATTGATTATTACGTAAGAACAACTAATTATATATTATTAACCGATGGAATAGTGATGGAAATACTTCAGTTGGAATATTATATCTCAACGTAAACTATGAACATTGTTTATTTGTTTTATAAGTTATATCATTTATATCATCATTTATCATTATCATTTTTTTATGTATTGATATTAAATTTAATTAATTAAGGTTTCAAGAAATAATAATAACATAGAGAAACGCCAATACCCAATAATTGTATTCGACTTTAATGATTTTAAATTATCAGATTGTCTCGTAATTTATCATTTTGTGTACATCTGACCACTTCACAGTTTACTTATATTAATAAACTAAGCACCTACTGTTAAATGTTAATAATTTGTATACATATACAAATAAACAATAATGATATACGTTCAGAGGTCAGACTTTCAGTTTGTAGTATATATGTTATATAATCAAAAATAGTCACTTGTTATCTTTAATTAATTACAATTTTTAAAAATAAATTTAAAAACATTAACTAAAATCATACATTGTACCTAAATATGCAGTCTTTTTTTGTAATGCTGTAAGATAAAAATGTTTATTTTATGAGTAAAATACCTCAATACACTTTTTGACGTTAAAGTGAATAAACTTTAAAAAGTTGTCAAACTAACTACAGAATCACTGAATAATATATTTTTATATATGTGACTTGATATAGTTTTTATTTTACTTAGGTAGATAAACTCTGATTTTTTAGTATAAAAAAAAATCATTCTAATACAAAATATTTAATTTAGAAATTGTAGGTAGGTGTATGTCTATTGTCTAAAATTTCCCCAGAGACTCGAATACTAAGGAACAGTTTTTCTTCATTTTCTGATTACTTCTTTTACAAATACTTTTTCTTGTGTAACAAGTGGATAATATGTTATCAAAAAGAATAAGTGGTATACGGTACACCCAATCTTTTTTTCGAAATATTGTGTTGGCATATTAATATATTTGTATTCGTGATATTACGATAATGCCTACCTCGAGGGATAAAGATCAAATATGGTGTGTTAGATGACGTATTGTGCAAATAGACGAATCACTTTTCCTGGTAGAACGCACAAAAAAAGTAAGTGCCGACACAGAAATTGACTGTCCTATACTTAAGTGGGTTTGCTATAACATATGTGATATTAAATTTCAAAAATCCATAAAACGTCGTATCACGAACTAAGCTCTGTTACAGCCAGGTGTCAATATTTGTCCTCTTGTCTTAAACACGTTACTGATAAATATGATAAACGACTGATTTGACAAAAGCGCGGATAACGATAGACACGTTTGGCAAACATGGCGACAAAACGGGGGCTTGTAAATTGCGCCCACATTGAGCAGGTAGTAAAAATACTATAGTAAATTGCGCCCGGGATTTTTCGGTTTCAAAAATGGGTATAGTAAATTGCACCCATTAAGTATCTAAGGGACCATGAATTCACCGATATCTATTAGGTATAATATATATTTTAAATACTGTTGTTCATTTATTGTTGGATAAACCCAACGTTTATCGCTATAATAGTTTATCATTATTATATTACCGATATCAATGCCTTTACGCGCATGCAATAACTATATAGGTAATATTTTAGTACCTATAAGTCGTTTGCGTGCGACATGAATATTATATATTATACTGGATTTAGCCAGAAAGAAAATGAGGTTATAATCCACGAAACTTATACATTTTCAAAATTAATAGAATAAATGAACCTTATAAATTTCAAAAGTCAAATAAAAAAAAAAAATGGAAAAAAATAGAAAAAAATTAGTTTGTCTATTTATATTAAAAATGTATTTATTTCAATCAAACCAAAAAATTATTTTTGGAAGGTATCGGTAGTCGCCTATTTCTTTATTATTATAAAAATAATATTTCTATTGGGTGCAATTTATTACATACAAATGTATAAGAACCTGAAAAATAGTTTTTAAAAATGTATTTATTAATTATATTATTAAAACACAATTTAAAATGTTTTCTCTTCGTTGGGTGCAATTTACGTGTGTCCGACAAAACACGACATCGACGTTTTTGTGTACCTACCCATCGAAAATAATTTTACGTTCCCAAAACTATATAGTCGTGTCCACGTCACCAATACTAACCTGCAATACATAATATTTTTCTCCTGCAGGTGCCGGCGAGTTACGCTTACAAGTACGGCGTGCACGACCCCGCCACGGGCGACATCAAACACCAATCGGAAGAGCGAACTGGCGACGTGGTCCGCGGTCAGTACAGTCTCGTGGAGCCCGACGGTACAGTACGAACCGTCGACTACACCGCCGACCCGGTTAACGGTTTCAACGCGGTTGTCAGCAAGTCCGGTAAGCCCAAGAAACCGCGGTACGTCGTCCGGACCGTGCCCGCCACCGTCGCCGACATCACGGACGACCCGCACTCGGCCAGAGGACCGATAAGTGAGTTACGAATGGCACTTGCACCAGAGTAGTGCTCTCTGTGTTGAACACTGCGATCGTTCACATATTATTATAATAATAATATTTTAACTACGTTCCTTGTTGGTAACGAGTATTAGACATATACTATTTAAGCTCTGAGTCTGGGAATGACTAAGTACTCACAGTGACGTTGCTATGACAAAGTGCACGACGATCATCTTATGATAGGCGAATAATCAGTCTAGAACTGTAATTATCTCCTGAAAAATTCTAGGTGCTCCACGAGTAGGTATTTATATATACGAATCCGGAATCCTATAAATATGGCGTGGTGTTACTAACAAATATTGCATTTTATTCTAATAGTAAGTTAAAGTCCGCTGGTCGTTGATATTATGCACCTATCTGCGGTAAAAATGTGTTTTAATCCACTTCGCTTAATATAAGAATTATATTTACCTATTACTGAATTAATAAATTATAAATCTTGCATGTATACCATAAACCAATCATTATAATAATTAATAAATAGTAAAATTATATATTGAAATAATATAATAGGTAGGTAACCTAACTGTATTTTCGGCTTACTACATTAGGATTGTCACACCATATTTATTATTTACGTTTAATCGTACCAAAGCTAGAATGAATTGGTATATAGACAGGGATGGGCAAGATACTCAAAAATCAGTATCGAGATAGTAGATACTAGATACCTGGATTTGGAGTATCGAGATACTAGATACTCGATACTTGGCTCTAGAGTATCGCGATACTAGATACTCGATACTTGGCTTTGGACTATCGCGATACAAGATACTCGATACTCGATACTCAATACATTTTAATAAAATTAGTCACTGGATTTTTAAAAATTATGTTTATTATTGTGGGTATGGCCACTTCATTAAGTAATTATAGCTACAGGGGCTAGAGTCCTAGAAAACCCAAGTCCAAGATAATTTGTGGGTCGCTTTAGCATCCCTAGCATTTAGTAATCACAAGAGTCCTCTAAAATCAAAATTTAAAATAAACCATAGAATCAAAGTATAACCTATAGTCAATAAAAACAAATTTACATTATAATTTATAACTGTAGACGCCTATATTTTGATGAAAATAGTTTTAAAATATCATCATCGTTTATTACATTAGATAGTTCTCTTTCTATATTAAGCATAGCGATAGCCAGATCACTAAATCTGTTTTGGGTCATAGTTTTTTGGTGCATCATTATTATTTTTCTTAGCACTACTTGCTTTTGATTTAAATACGTCAAGACAATTTCTTCCGCTATAACTATAGGTAACCAATTACTTATAAATTTGTTTTGTACATTCACAATAAAACAATATCAATATGTATAAAATATTTATTAATTATGACTATTATGAGTTATTTTAAACATTTTTTTTCTTATTTTTTCGGATTTGGGTTTTAGCTATAGGCTCGATTTGAGGCTAAAATGTAAAACCTTCTAGGGGGGCTAAATACAACTGCAGGGGGGCTAAGCCCCCCAGCCCCCCTAGTTACGCCGATGGACACTTTCAGTAATAATAACACATTAGTCACTTTTCAAAAGTGGTTTCTGACGAGTAAAAATAATCGTTAACAATTAATTTTTCAAAGTATCGCATTATTGTATCGAGTATCTTTCGATTAAATTAATTCATGAAATACTCGATACATTGACTAAAAATGTATCGCGATACAAGATACTCGATACTTCACATAATTGTATCGAGATACAAGATACAAGATACAAATGTATCTAAGATACGTATCTTAGATACTTGTATCGAAGATACTGCCCAACCCTGTATATAGATAAATCGCGGGAACTTTACGTCTTTACTGATGACCCAGTTTTGGTGTGGGTCACTTAATTAATATTATATGAGGTATAAATATGGTTTTTTTTCTAAAATCACAATTTATAGATGCAACTATAACAACATTAAAACCTACTTTAAAATCGATCAAATTATCTAAAAATGGAACGTATTTTATGCATAGGTACAAAAAATAATTATTGATTCATTTAAGTAAAAATGCTGTAACTAAGGAAGGTAATTCACCAAACATGCTTATCCGCTTTTTTTTCAATCACGCCAGTATTTAAAGTCTGATTTTTGGAATTTTATACTCTTAAGGTCATATTTTCAAATTCTTGATTTTTGTTATACTAGTTAAGAAGTGTCCGATGGATATATTATAAGCATCTGTTTTACAAACGAGAATCCCCCTTTTCTAGTTTTGTACTGTAAATTATTTAGTGAATATATTTTTTCTGAAAATGTTGACAAGTGAGAATCAAAATGTGAAAGAGTAATTTTTGAGTTATTTAACTTAGTTTATTTTAGTTATTTTAGTGATTAATATTAGTGTATCAACATTAATTATTTTAAAAATAATGGTTAATATATGGTAGGTATGGCTAATTAGATTTCCTAACCTATGGAAAACAAATTCTAGATCCAAATAAATCCAATATTACATCAACTTTAAGAGATATTTTTGTAAAACCATTTTGAAGGACTATGTGTTTTAATAAAAACATTTTACCAACTGCGAGAAACAACTAGTTCAAATTTTCAATAAGATAGGTACATCAAAATTTAAAAATAAATTCACCAAATAACGTACAGTAAAAAAAGGTGGTTAATACTTAATACTACAAAAACATTCAGGATTTAGAAAAATATAGGTTTTGAGTATATTTAAAAATTTTAAAAATCAGAATTTGGATAGATTCATTATTAAAAGAAGAATGGTGATGAGCATTGATCATGCTTGGATTAATCATCATGTACATAATACTATGATGACGGACGGAGTCGTTGAAAGCATAAACAGGAGGATAATAAAAAATAATTGAATATGTTTTAAATTTAGCGTCTTTGTTACTTTCAAATTTTATTGATTTAAAAATGGATTTCAGAAAAATTCTTTATATTATTATATACGCTAAGCTTAAAACTTAAAAATTGACCATGATATTAGATTTATATCCTATTATTCCTATTGCATATCATCAGCAATTATTAATATTTGCATATAATCTTATGTCATCATATATCTTCTACCCGGTCATCCAACTGAAGTAATAATTTAAATTTTAAAATATTATTTCAATTGCTTGAGTTTTTATATAAAACATTTATTTTAAACCTTAAACGCTCACTTTATATGTATAGGTTATTAAAACTCGTTTGCTAAATTTATTGAATGAAAATAAGTTTAAAGCTTTTACGTATATAGGTATGGCTTCCAACCAAAAAATATTGAAGACTATGGAGTCTGTTATCGAACAGAACAATTGAAAAGTAAAAGTAAATTGTTTCACATGGAGCTTAGTTATAAGTAATTTAAATGTTTTAAAAGTAAACTCTTTGAAATAAACATATAAATGAATTTATTTATTAGACGTCATGTATTATCTACATTGATTGATAAGTTTTAAATTATTAATGAACTTTTATTATTTCGTACCACACTTGTTAAATTATTATTTAAGACCAAATGTGTTAAATGTAATCAAATGATTTTTGGTACCTACATAAGTAACAAAAAATAGAACTAAAAAGAAAAAAGTTTATTTTAGAACGCTTGGATTTATATCTGTGGACCCAAAAATGTCATCAAGCACGCCTAAATTCCTACGAGAGATTATGTACATCTTGGTTTGTTACGATTTCACAAACGATTATCGTAACTTGTATTTATGGTATTTTTGTACAATGCGTAGTGCTCAAGTAATCAAGGCTGATCGTGCATAAAATCTTTCGTATAACGGTGTTTGCCATAATATGACAAAACGTTACATATGTGGTCCCTCCGATAGGTTTTAGTGTTTAATAGACATCCTTATTAACATTATCAAAACTATATGAAATACTATACCTACCTACGTGTTATAATACTTATAATTTGTTAAGTTGTATGACTTATGAGTGTGTGTCGTGTGAAGTAAATCACATGCTGCAATTATGTTTTGATCATCGTATATTCGTATAAAATTTCAGTCAAGATCTAAGATCGAAGGTATTTTTAATACGCATATATAGTAACGAGTTTAAAGCCACCTTTCCCGCTGTTGCGTTTTATTTGTCTAGACTTTCAAAAATATATAAGAAGCTGTTCTAACATTTAGTTGTTAGCTCGATATAATTGTGTTTTTATACTATGATTTAGTCAATTATAGGATAATTAATTACACATTCTTTCGATAAGTTAGAAATCGTAATGGAAATATTATAAATTCATTCAATATATTATTTACTATGATCGCATTACTATTTACTATATTAAATACTGGGATATGAATGTGAAAAAACGGTGAAATGTTATCCATGTATTTACGAAGAATGTACTTATAAAATAAAAAGTTATTCATTCCATTGAGAATATTATCTTGAAAATAAACATTTTATATAATAATATATAAAGTCAAATTTGGTAAACCTTGATTAGAAAATATATCCATTTACATAATATAAAACCATAGACTTTATTAGGAAATTAAAATAATGTTCGTAAATCGTAATTGATCTTTTTTGACCGTCAATCAGAATTTTTCGTTATGTAATGTTCGTGTTAACCCTTTTAATTTGGGTTGGACTATAGGCATCGATCGTGTACCTATGCCACTGGTCAGGGATTCGAAAATCTTGATCGAGGTTCCCTCAGAAACCATAAATATGGTTTATTTAATACCTAATACCTATATTATAATACATAATACTTTTTTTTTCATTATTGACAGTCTTGACCTTCGGTTTAATAATTTAATATATTAATATTTAATGAACTTCGTAAGTCTTTACAATAACTATATAGTGACCAAACTTTGGTCATATTATAGACTTAATTTTTACGGTACCTACCCAGCTTAAAAGAATTTAATAAAATATTAAAATGTAATTTAATAGTAATATACATTTTCTATTATGATTAAGTAAATGACTTCTATATAAACAGCTAGCGTAATTATAATAAAACTTAATAATTTCATTCTGTTATGTAATATAATAAGATATTTTAAACT